TGCTGCAGTTGCATCTCCCACAAACCTGACAATATTCAAGAAGAATTTGGACAACACCCTCAGACACATGGTCTGCATCTTGTGACTGTCCTATGCTAGGGCAGGAGTTGGACTCGATGATCCTTGTGGGTCCCTTCCAACTCACAACGTTCTATGGTTCTATGATCTGTGGTCTGAAGGCCAGTTATCTTTGCTGCCAGTCTTGCATGTGTCCCATAGCCAAGCTGCATCAATTCTGGGATCCAGTCCTTCAGGGCACCCAAGTGACTGGGAAATGTCTTGGTGTTCCTTGTTCAATGGCTTTGAATAGGGGCTTCCTACTAAGTGGCACTCAGTGTTTGAAGGCAGGTGTGCATTCTACTCCACTAGCAGTGTGTGGACATCAAATTCAGTACCTTACCTCCTTCTGGCATCTTTGCCTTTGGATGTGTCATGCTAGTGCTGGAGTGATGCTGAGGCAGATACGTTTGAAAAGTCAATGTACTTCTGTGAATTTGCTGCAGGGCATGACCTAATTGTCCTGGCTCTTGGTTGCAGGTGGCACTTTTCACATCATCTGCAGCTGTGACATAAAGCTGTTGAGTTTCAGTCTTGTTTTCTGCCCTGACAAGCAACTTTTTTTCCCCTCCCTCCTGACTGATGCGTCTTTCCAGAGAAATGTTCATCCTCTTGGGGGAGGGTGGATGGGATCTTAAAGTTGCTGGGTAAGGCTAATATGTACCATCATTACATCTTTTACTCACTCAGGCTATTAGTCTGCTTTGCAGGTAGTACTGGTGCCCTACAGTATGGCCTTGAGGGGACAAAATACCTGGAAGGTGAGGGGGGTTCTCGGTTTTAAGGCCATGTTTCATCATGAGTATGAGGCAGCCCAAGTGTGGGTTGCTGCCAAAGGCAGATTTGTTTCCAGGCAGTTGTCTGTCTTGCTGCAGGACTGCCTTGATTAAAGCTGCTTAAGCTGATTGTGAAACTGCAGCCTAAGAGTCTAGTTGTCTTGGAAGCCTAAGGCATCTCTGGATAATGTCTGGATGGATGTTAAGAAGAGTCTTAAGGTTTCTGGACAGTTTTTGATGGGACTCTGTGAGGCCACTCTGATAAGGAAGATGCTCAATGCTTATTTTCTGTTCAGCTCTAGCAAAACCAGCTTTCCTGTGATGTTGTACTATAATAAACCTTACAAAGCGTGTTTCCAGGTGTTTTTTGAGAAAAGCACAGTACTACTTCCACTTTTTCCTCGATAGAGGAGGACTTTGCTCTGTTTGGCTGCTTTGAGTTGGTAGGTGATTTCTCGTTCATCTGTTTGCTTTATCCCCTTGAGATGTGGTTGTGGCAGTACCTAGAGGCTGAAATCAGGATTAGGACCCAATTTGCTGTGGTCCTACTAACTAATGTGTAAAATAGAGCAGCACTCATAAGGCTATGTGAGCCCACATGCTCTTTGGATGAGACCTGCTTCCAGACAGGCTGGCCGTGGCACGGCCCTGAATTCAGTGGTGGCAGGTCATTCTTGTGCCGTGGTGTATATGGGCTGTGAGAAATGGTTTAGCTAGCTGTCCCGCTGATATCCAAAGTGAGCAGTCTCCTTACTCCTCAACCTCCTCCTTCTCCTCCTCCTCCTCCTCCTCCCTTGGAGGGCTCTGCCACTCTTATCCCTCCCTCTGGGACAAACCTCAGCCATTCCT